TTTTTTTTTTATGGGGTTTCCCCTGTTGGGTTTGAAAGCAGCGGAATAGGTGGGATTAGTATGGATAAGAGAGGCTGATTACAATGCTATTTTTAGGTTGTAGCTCTGTTTGTTCTGTACTTAAAGCCAGATACAAAAGCTCATATTTAAGCAAGACATAGAGCCCCCTAGAACATGAATTAAATGCCAACTACCATCTGCTATCCAACTCTTAAACACACATTAACATATCAAACTTTTCTAGAAATTATAAAACTACTAATGAAATTTTCAAAATTAATCTCAATATTCCCCCTGGTTCATAAAAAAAAAGAAAAAAGAATTGTGGTGCTTGGTGGTCATTGATGTTAATAAAACAGGGAATGAATTCTGGGTTTTGTGCAAAGTATTCTATTTATATGTTGGCTTCGTCTCCTGTTTTGAGAAGGCAACAGTTTTTGATAAGGTCTCTTAGAGCAAAACACTAACACCCATCATAAAAGAATGCAAGGTCTCTTTGATAAGGTCTCTTGGCTACTCTCTTTTTAAAAATCCTAATAGTCTTAATGGAATACCACAAGACTTATTTAGATAATTTTAAAGTCTTAATTGAATACCTCAGTTGTTTCTTCTTCCTTTTGTTTTGCGTGTAGCAGCAACTATGGCATCTCAGCCTGTGGATTCTGAAATTAGGGAAGGCTTTGCCCCTTCTTCAATATCTAGCAATACAGGCCCAGATACCATTCATCTTAGCTCCAAGAAAAACAAAAGGTATGAACTTTTTTTTTTTTTAATTTTTTTTTTTCTGATTTAGTAATTCAATCAACTGTTCTTTTCTGTATATGTGTTGATTCATCATGTTTTCTTTAATGCATTGTCAATCATCTGTTAGTTGGTTTTGAGAAATTTAGGTGTTTGAGCATTTTATCTTTTTTTGGAATTTCAGCAATAATGAGTTGCTTTACTTACAAGTGACTGTCAATGACGGAGCCACATATAAGAGGGGGAGAACCTGTTTGATGAAATGCCTTAAAGGCATCTTGTCAAACTTAAGTTCCACTAGTTTACACCACCCAACATTCGACATTCAACATTGCATATAAATATATAGTGCTGAAACAATTTTGATACGATTTATCTAAAGCTGAAGCTTAAAGGGAGGCCACTGATTAGCTAGATCAGACACTCATACTGTTGCAGTTTTGAGATACAGCTTTTTATCATTTTCCGTTTCCTTCTGAAAACATGCATCATTGGTGTTTGCAAAAGTATTTACTTCATAGGTCTTTGGTATTCATATGCTTTCTGTTGTGTTTCTGTTAATTAGGTGTTTGATGACAATAAGTGCATGAATTTTGGATATCATCAACAGATTATATTGCTCTTATTGTGTCTCTTCCTTTGTCTTTATCAAGAAAATAATTCTAGTGTTAAACTATTTCCTCTGTATAAGCAGAGTAGAGGAGGTTTTCTCTCATGCACATGGGCTAGTTGCAGCTAAAGGCACATGAGTTACTTCAGCTATAAGAAGGTGATGAGAGTGCAGTTGAAGTTGGGTTTTAGGATTGTTGGACTAATGGCTGAAGTAACTCATACGCAACTTGTGTGCATGAAAGAAAAGCTCGTGAAGATAGAACCCTAGGTTACCAGTCTTTTGTCTTCTCATTTCTACATTTTCTTCAATGTCACAGCCTTGACCCCACCGAAGCTAGTATTCGGGCAAGATTTGCAACGAATCGGATCTCAAGGGGTTCCGATTCACGTGCTGGTCGTGTTGAGCCAGAAGTTTCTGAAAGTCACAGCATGTTTGCTGTTATGAAAAAGTAAGAAATTAGCTTTATTGATTCATACCTCTCCTTTAACCAATTTTCAGCTGATTTTGAGAAAGTTTGTCCTTTGAACAGTTTATATGTTTGGACTATCTACCTGATTGGTGTTTAACAATAACAGTTAGTACCTAACATTTCTCATCTCTTGCTCTGTTCCGTATTTTTTTATGCCATGTAGTTGTTTAATTAAGAAAGCTGAAAGAATAATGACTAGCCAACTGTATGTGAAATTCATTGATACTACTCTGGAATTTCTACTTCGTTGTCGATGTAGAGAAATTTGATCTTTTCAATATCTTCTGGAAAGGAAAACCAACTTTGTAGGTGTTTTTAAATGAACTCCCTAGATCTTTGGTATTGATATGCTTTCTGCTGAGATCATGTTAATTGTACCTGACGTTTCTCATTTCTTGCTCTATTCCTTAATTTTTCTATGTTATGTAGTTGTTGGAATCTTATTATGAAATCTGAAACAGTAATAATTAGCTGGGTGCACGTGAAATCGATACTTCTCTGGATTATCTACTTTGTTGTTGATGCAGAGAAATTTGGCTTTTCATATTTTGGAAATATCTTCTGAAAACCTACAGTGTTGGTGTTTTTAACAGAACTGCCTACATCTTTGGAATTGATCTGCTTTATGCTGTATTCATGTTAATTGGCTAATGATCTTTGTTCTGATTTGGGACCTTTTGTTATTACTGTGTGGCCATGTTTGGTGCCTAGGATTTGATTGGATTGGATAACTCACAAGATTCAAGGTATGTTGAAGGAAGAAATGGAGGCCATCTTCCAAACTTGGTCCAAGTTGGATGTAGAATATGGCTTAGTTATGAAGAAAACCTTATAACTTACCACACGATGAAAAATCCTTCAGCTCTACCTTCATTTCTTATTTCAACATACCTTGAATCTAATAAGGTATCCAATCCAATCCTAGGCAACAAACGTGGTCTATGCTTGTATACTTTTTGTAGTGTACTGTGTACCAGGTCACTTTTATGTTCTTTGATATTATGGCACCAAGAATTTCTCATGTAATTTTCCAAAATCATCATTTTTTTCATAACCTCGTGTTGTCAACTATGCCTCTGCAGAATCACCAGGATGTTCAGATGTTCAAGAAGTTGAAACAAAAGCTGGCACGTTTGACTCAAAAGTGCTTGCCTGAGAAAATGAAGATTCAACATTTTTACGGCATTTCTTAGCATCCATTGCAGTTTTGAGGAGAGTTCCAGTTTTGATTATTGAGGTTGAATCAGCTGACAAAGTGGAGTTCTGGGTTTTCAAAAAACAAAAAACAAAAAACAAAAAACAAAAAACAAAAAAACAAAAAAGAATTACTGAGGTTGAATTTATAGATATTGTGTTTAGTATACTGCTAAATTGTGTGTATTCCCCGAGTTCATTCTTGTGTTTAATTTCTCATTTGACATTTTTAGTACAGAATCCCTTACAAATATACTCCTTGAAGTTTAATGTAGTTCGAAAAGAGAGATGCATATTCATAATTTGTATATGCACTTTGGGGTAAATCAAGGAGTATGAGTGAGGGTTAAGATTACTATAATGTGTATTTGAAAATATTTTCTACCTGAAAAGAAGTTAGATCATCTCAAACCGTTTAGGTAAATTTGAATTTCAGATTTTAGCAATTTGAAGAGCTACTGAATATACCATCGTTCCATTGCTTTCTTTGTTTGTTTGTTTGTTTTTTTTTGGGTCAATTATAGAAAATTCCCAAACTAAAGACAACTCTATCTCATCTCTCTCCCATCCTCTTCCCCGCAGACCCTACTCTCCGCTGCCCCCATCCCACCACCATCCCCCAAGCACCTTCATCCCTCCCGCAACAACACCGACCCCCTAAAAGCTGCAGCCCCTCACCCCTACCAGATCCATGTTTTTTTTGGAGCTATTTTTCATAGATTTTGAGGGGTGAACATCATACATTGAATTAAATTTAAGAAGCCGTGGTTCAGAATTCAGGTGCTGGGATTTAGATTGGGACCCCGAACCCAAGTTTGCATGACACGTCGAACCCCAAGCTTCACACCCACATACAGACCCCTGACAATGAGTTTCACTTCCCGTTTTCAGCATTTTTAGAAATAGAATGATGCATATGTGATCTGAGACCAAGTAATAAAAATCAAGAATGGCTAAAAACCTTAATAAGAAAACTCAGCTGCAAAGGAATATGAAGCGATGTAACTGTGAAACTAATGTGTAAGAGTAATTTCTTTTTAAAATTTGTTTGGACTGATTACACTCTATACAGGTGGAGACGGTAAGTCTAGTAGAAGCCAAAATCCAACACAATCATCCGAATCCAAGTCCCCCTGGATTGCAAGGAAGTGCAAACCTCCGGAATCCTTCTTTGCTGCTTCCCAAGCTTCAGCTTCACTTGTAGTTTCAGGAGTTTTGTTGTAGGTAGCATAAATATATCGCCCAGAAATACGAACAGAAAGAATCAAGCGAGCCCGTGACAAATCGGCTTCAATTGAACAAACTTCCAACCCATTCATCCAAGCTGCAACAGTTTATAGAAAGATGTGATTATGATCCTTTATGGTTAGAGGAGCATCAGAAAATTGTATAAGACAAGGAATAAGATAGCAGATTCAAGGAGAACGTATCACAATATCCCGTGAAGGATAGTGTTATCTAGTCAAAGAACCTGGGTATACATTAACATTCTGGACCACATGTTCAAATTAGAATCCACTCGATCAACGGTTTAGCTATTAGCATGTGATGCTTTCTGTACCCAGAACAGAACATCTATATAGATAGTCGCAGTGTATTGAATAATCATAAGGAGAAAGAAATTGCCATGTTATAAACAGACCAGAAGATGGTATTGGAGAGAATATACACCTGCTAGTGGTTTAGCACGTGAAGATGCAACAGCCAATCCGGGAATCAATGTCTTGTCATCAATTTCAATCCCCAACAAATCCAAATCTAGACTCGCACCAAACACGAGGTTTGAGTCCAAGGATGAGATTTCCTCTTGAACAGCTGAAAACAGGAGTTAGATTTAGTGTGGGAACAGGAAATGTGAAAAAGAAATATTGGATGGTTAGGGCAGGTGACAGGATGTGAGTTGTTATATCTGTCAAGACTCAGAAATCTTCATTGGCAAGTCCTTTACCTGAAAAGGGCAATTGGACAAAGGCCCATTTCTCCCCAACAAGATTTTCTGGAAGTTCCATTGGGAATGGGTTATCTACTGCAAGGAGTGGCTTAGATCCTTTCTGGAAACCAGGATGGCGTGTGTATACAGTCTCGTAGCGTTCTTCCAACCATAAAAGCAACGAGAGACACTGAAAGAAGCAAAGTTCCAAGACAATAAGTAGACAGGGCATAGCAGTTATACCAGAAAACCAAAGCAAGCTCCATTACCATACTAATGTACACTAGTTCAAAAGACATCTGTGTTGTAGTATTGCCACAATTGAACGTTACATATGATTTGAACGTCCGTTGTAGTGTCTTGTTAACATAGGCTCCAAAAAAGGTGTGA